AGACCGATTAGTTATATCGATTACACTCGTGTTTTGTAGTATTTCATCATTTTCCAGCTATTCGTACAAGTTGATCTATCTTTACAATTAAGAATACTTCTCGATCGTTCGGTTGCACGTTGAAATATGTGCGAAGTTGAGCAACGAAAAATGTGGAGTTTGAATGGTTTAATTCGATATTCGATGTATTTCGAAAACATCAAGTGGAATTATGTAAATTCAATTGTATTCTAGTTATTTCGTAGTTTCGTCGTAAAATGTTGAGTACAACGAAGAAACTTAACGTTTATCACACAAATGTACGCGATAGTGTGCAATATTTCAAAATATAACTGTCTACTGAGAAGCTTTTTCAATATTACAAATTTGTCTACCATGAAGTAATTTAATTGATTAAATTAAGTATAATTTAACTAAATTGTGCGTTTGATAAATGATGCAATCTGTTGGAGAAATTGTTAAATATTCCGTTGTTGCAACGACTTGACGTAAAGTGGAAATAAATATGAATTTTGTTGACAAAATATGGTATTATTTTCCTATAATTCACTTTATTGTGTAATAAAATATGATTTTTATCACTATAAATGAACGTTCGTTGCAATAATATTTGGTAATATTACACGTATGTTGCAGGACAAGCGAGAAGAAATGCAAAGACGCAGTGAATTAGAAACCAAGATGGCTGAAATTCTCGAAAATTTGAAGACTCGTTTGCTAGTCGAATAATTTTTATTATTATCATGTATACGCATTCGTTTCGTCGCTTATTTCGATAGAAACTAATGAATATATAAATATTTTATTGAAAACAGGCAGTTTCCTTATCCCAAAATTCTTAATACGACTTATATCGTTCAAATGGCTTGTCGTGTAACCGTTACGCAATAGATTTATAAGCGTCTCTTGCTACACTTACCTTATTCCAAAATTGCGCGTCTTTTTGGCACCTAATTTCGTAATCGACGTCTGGAACTACCACACTTCACTTGCACTTCATCGCACACTTAATTGTGCAATTATACTTCACTAATTATATATTATTGTACTTTATTTAACGACGCTACAATTAAAGATTCAGCAGCAACGCGCACTAAAAGAATACTGAAGTTTGGAGTATCGCAATTATTAACTTCAATATTTATATATCGATAATTATCGAAGTAATATTACGACGTTACATTACCAGAGTGCGCTGCTCTCGTGTTGTTATTAATGTGTCAATGATGTGTTGACGTTTTGAAATATATTTTATCTAATAAATGTAGAATGTAGAATGTATAATATTGAATAATTTAATACTGTAGATTACATTTTTTATAAAATTTGACAATTACAATCGTACAGACATGGAAGAATTTTTACAAAACCTAGGAGTAGGGTTAAGATCTATTGACGATCCATTTTTTGACGATTCGTATAACACTTGCAAAATTTTTAAACGAAAAGGCGTTACTGTTGAAGATGATGAAGAATTATGTCATGAAATGTAAATAAAAAGTTCTTATAAACGTTTAATTGCGTTTCATAACCTAAAACGCAATATAAATGTATTATTGAATAAAACAATGTGTTAATTTCAGTATAAAGGAATTTCCTTGTCATGTCACTGGTTGTAGAGCCACATTTAAAACATTAATTGATTTTGAAATGCACTATAATAGTAATCATCGATATGTCTGTGGAGAATGTAAAAAGTCTTTACCAAACCCTAGATTATTAGACATCCATATTCAAGAAACTCATGATAGTTTTTTTCAAGTTTTATGTATGAAACAACCAATGGTACTTATCTATTGTTTAGTGCTCTAGTGGGTGTATTATGACATATATTAACATTTGTATTTTCTTTTTAGTACCAGTGTTATGTTTCTGAGTGTGATTTAAAGTTTAATAATGCAAGTGAAAGAAGAAAGCATTGTGTCGAAGTACATAAATTTCCTAAGAATTTTCGATACAATAATGTCCCACATTCTACAAAAGATGAACCGAAAAATGCAATGGATATTGATGAATCTGAGCCACAAAAGAAGGAATCGAAGGCTAAAAAGGTGCAGTTAAATAAAAATCAAAGAAGTAAAATGTTTACAGGTGCAACACAGAGTACAGTGTCGGTGAATTCTAATGTTCATGAAAGTCCCTCAAATGTTGTAAATACTAGCTCTGGGTCATCTTCTCTAGCTTTTATTCCTCGACAAATACAAAAATCATATACAAAAGCACTTACTAAAAATGAAACCAATGAAAAAGACGTTCTTCAAACAGGATGTATGATGGACTTAGCAAATTCACTACCTGATTGATAATATCTGATTGAGAAAAGGAATATTATTATAATAAATAACATTCGTTTAAAATTTTATGTGCTTTCTGTGTTATCTTTTTTATTTACATTTTTTGCCTATTTGTGTTATTCAATATACATTTTCTTACACAAACTTAGTTTTTTGATTTGTTTACAATACACTGTATTAAAGTACGTATTATATTTACTTGGAACTCATCAAGAATCCTGTGATGTTTACACTTTAGGTAAAACTAATATTGGATAACTTATTTGGCACACTGTTATATTAAGAAAAAAACTTTGTGGTAATAATATTAAAAATAACTGTAACACTACTGAATGGCACAAAAATTCATAGCCTCGAGGAATGACTCACCTTCTAATCCCAACCATCATCAGGAAAACATTTTTACACAATATACATACAACAGTGATGTTGGTATAAAGATGTTATACACAAAAGAAGAATATTTGATAAACAGGAATGTAAAATAACAGCAAATGATACTTCTCTCTTTGAATTGGAAGCCTATCAAATAATAAAAAGGAACATTGTAAAACATATGCAGATGTTTACAGAATATTCGTTCCTTACAAAATACAAGACAAATTTTTACAAATATCGCGTATTTTGTTTCTTTATCAACGACAAATACGACCCTTGAAACCAGCGTTAATTTAATTTTTAACGAACGCTAGAAAACTAACAACAACTTAAGATATGAGATCTGTACAAAATTTAAAGTTGAGTAAATTCAAGTTGAGTAAACCATACATCTAAGCTTGGCCGTTTCGTTCCTGAGTGCTACGAGTTCGTATTTCAGTTTCATGTTTTCTTGTTCTAAAAAAGCTGCCCTGATAGCAATTTCGTCTTCTTTCGCTCTCCGAGCGTCTCTGGAGCGTTTCGCTGCTTCGTTGTTTTTTCTTCTCCTTTCCCAGTAAGCTGCGTCCTTTTCGTCAACAGTGCTGGTTGGCAGTCCCGGACTTTTTGTTATTCTTCGCATTTTGATGTTTGTTCCTTCGTTCGACCTTCTGACAGATTCGAGCATTCGTTTTCGGAACTCCGAGTACGCCTCAGTGGAATTTTGATCGTACATCATTTCTGCTGTTCCCACAGTAAGCGATAGTGGATCTTTTGGATAAGCTTTAAAAGGTCTTGGTGCTTTCTTACCGATATCCGGAGATAGTGTGGACAACGAGATGTCTTTGGAATACGTCGTCGAAGTAGTTGTCGATGGTGTAGAAGTGCCGACTATTTGCGTTGTTTTGGTCGTCTCGCTATTTTGCGAAAGCAACGTTGGTAATACTGTGGGAACGACTGGAATTGGTACATTCATTGGTAAAACAGAGAAACCAGCGTTTGAACCGATGACATTATTTGCCGGTGTCTCCGAACAGTTATAAAGTGAATCGTATTTGATTTTTCTCGGTGAATCCGACTCTGAAGGCGGTGTTACCATGAACGTTCGTCCCTCGAAAGGACTTTTCCGTTCAGAATCCGAAAAATGGCCGATTTGATCCGGTCTCGTAATGATCGCGGGTGAATTTGAACGTGAACTTGGTGAATTTGATTCGTTGGACGTTGACGTGGTGGTCTGTTTCTTGCACGAGAGATCCAGGATCGATTCGGTGAATGCTATTCTCTGTTCCCGTTGCCCACAAGAGGTGAAGTCCAGAGCTTGTACGCTGTCCATCGGTGACTCGGAATAAGAATCCATGTTGCAACTTTCTATCGCCTGAAATGACAGAAAAATGTGAGTAATTAAAATTCTATTTTTTCAAATCGCCCGCGAAGCAACGAGCTGTCCCAATGTTCTTGAGACGAAATGGTAAATAGATACTTCTCAACTTTCGATTCGTATTAGACACTGCCGTAGTTAGCGATCGCGATAAGTCGTAGTTAAATAGAAACTCTCGCGTCAGGATAGACGATAACGATCGTTGAAAATCGTGGAAAGCTAACGAAAAGCGAGCGTATCCAGTGATAAATATATCGATATGCGTATATACCTATATACACCGTAGAACATGAAATCTCCACGCCAATGAAATTGAAACATGCCGTTAGACAACACTACAGGTTTCTTCGAACAGTTTCACTTCGAACTAACGAAAATTCACATTTCGAAAAATTGAAATCGATCTATTTTTTTTTTTTTACAAACGTCATAGAATGTAATAGAAATTAACGTATACACTGGTTACGCAAATTCAGCATTCTTCCACGTCTATTGAGCAACTACCACTGTAAACGACGAACGTCTCTTACCCAATGATTAATCCAAGAACAAGCTTCAGTCACTGATATCACAACACACTGTATCGTGGAATCGTGCGCGTTTTCTCAATGATTTTTAGAATAGAACCACGGTTACGACGCCCGTTCGAAAATCGGTATTGATCGAACGGGCCTAGTCAATTTTTGGTTGAATCGTATTCACACAACCAATCGCCAAAATCGTTTAGCACGAGAGGGGGTGTAGTTTCGCTTATATACTAGCCAACCCTTGCAAGACTCAGGGGTAGGAGAAGATTCCTTAGAAAATGGTGGGGGACCATACTCTTGATGACCATAGCGCCGGGGTCCGCGTGGCACGCGTTCGCCACTTCCTCTATTCCCAAAATGTTTACGAAACGAGACGTTTACGTGATTACGCAAATGTAATCAGAAACACGAGACGCGAAACTGGTTACGGGTGTTGTGATAACGACTCTGTCGGGTACGTCTGAACTTTTCTGATGGAACTATTGTATACACGGTATGGTATTTTCTTTTTAACGTAATATTGCAACATAGGAAAAATAGAATATTTTAGGCAATTAACAAAACTAGATAAAATTGAGACAGTATATTTTTCAGGGTATTTAAATACAATTTTTTCATACGTCACTGTAAGAGAATCTGTAGCTTTCAAGGAGAATGCGATAAAATTAACATTTTACTTAGAACTTATTTACTTTCAATTATTATTTTTTTCTTCAAAATTCAGGCGACACACAGTGGAGTATTTCTACGAAAAAGTTGGCCAAAATTATCTCACTGGTTTTAGTAATAAATAGTAATGATTTCGCTTGGAAGTGACGAAGAGTAATTATTTGATACAATTTTACAGGAAAACACAGTAAGAAATCAAAATTTCAGAAATTTCAATTTTTAAGCAACTTTTGCATAATACCGTAGAAATGTTAGGTTGTACACGAATGTTTCTCTCAGAAGAACTAAAAACAGTAACAATTGTATCTCAACAATAACAGAAACATACTCGGTTACGCTAAATATTTGGTCACCTTTCGCGCGACGATTAATCACACATGTTAAATATGACAATAAAAAGGAGCATTTGTTTCCACGTACGGAATTCCCTTCTTACTTCCGTTTCGTTTATCGCGCCGAGTAGGCGTGTCGTTCGGTACAATACACAAGGCTCGGTGCCCCGTGAAATGAAAAGTTGCGTGGAAATTTATAGTTCTAGGTAGTGATGAGCTCGCCACCGTACCTGTCGAAGACAAATTACAGCAGCTTCTTGACCTCGAACAACAATCGAATCCCGCTAAATTAATCCGGGCAATCGTAGTCATCGCAGTTTGCCTCGGGATTTCGAAAAATCCAGTTACCGGTTTGGCACACTAAAACCTTTCTGTCTAAATCCTGCGTAAGGACAGGGCCGTGTACACGCTGTATCGGCGACTTCCTTGGGCAAAAGGGTTGAACGTTTGGTAGTAGTCGGTAACCGCGACGCGGGGTGTCTTTTCGTGCAACGCTTAGGAAAGTGTGCATAGCAATCACTCTGCATATAACCCTTTCGTTTGACCTTTTTCCGTAGCGTTTCGCAGCTGCCTTTGTTTCTGGCCCGTGTCGCCTGATTTACGACGGCCACCGTCCAAAGAGAATCGCGGAATTTGCGTAAAGTGCTCATAAATTAACCGGCGAAAGCGTTGCGGCCTGGTGAAATTTGTCGAGATTTTTAGTTGGACGAGAAATGGGTGGCCGTTTGTACGTTTGCACCTCGACGGCTGCTTCTCTCGATGCACGATGAATTTTCTTTTCTTAGGCTGCTGCTCGTTAGGGATGGACAACATGTGGCAATTTTCATAGAGTACCACCGGAAGATGGACCCACTCCTTTCTTCGGCTCATGCTGACTAATGGTTCAGTTGCACGACCGAGTGTGTAAGTTCGTTAGTTAATCGTTGCTTCGACTGCTTTCGTCTAATAGCTACTTCTCATGGTGATCTCTTTGTTTCACGCGTTTTATACGACTTTCTGGTGGTGCGGAGGCGATTTTTCTGGGGGATGGTGTATTCAAATGTTTCGGAAATTTGCTTAGGATTTAAGACTATTAGGCTATTGTATTTAAGACTAAAGTGTGCAATTTGAATATTTCAGCTTTAGTTGCACGTTCTGCTAATATGTAATAATTTTTTAGTTCAAGGCGATCTTTAGAAGATTTCTTGGAGCTAACTTAATCACATCACGAATCAGTCGCAAAATGGTAGAAATTGCATTTACTTCAGGGAATAAATTATCGTCAACTAAAGATTACAGAAATGATTAAAAATTACATTAGGTTAGCCGAAAAAAAAAATATTTGCTCAACAGCTGAAATGGGCGGGTTGATACCACATAAGAAGGAATTTCTTGTCGAAGGATTTTTTAATTCAAAGACTAAATGATTTTTAACGAAACCAAACTGAATCGTGTGGAGATTAAATTTTCATTTAAAAGAAAAAAAAGAAGATTAATTATTTCTCGAAGACAGTATCATCGCTCCCCTTTCACTGTGAATCTCGTCCAGGAAATTCGTGGAAACCGAGTGTGAGAAAAATAAGAAATAAATGACGAACGACGACAGGGCCAGGTTACAGTTATCCTCGATAGAGGAGAGACGTCTCATTATGTCTTCGTCCCAAGATCACGCCAAATTTAGTCCTCCGTTTCGGTGCCCTGTTAAAACGTCGTGTCGAGCATAGAAAAGCACCCCGGCGCTCAATTCACCGCACCGCCTCTTTTCCCGTGTATACAAATTTTTGCTCTTTTGGCCACATAACCCACATTTCTATGGTGTAGGGACGACCGCAACCCGTTATTTGCGATTTTTCCCGTGGCCGCCGTCCGACGACAGATGAATGAATCCCCCGCGCATTTGCATCTGCTCGTACCGCACAGAGAAACGTATACAAACGATGTAACGGTACGCGATGCAAAATCCTCGCGACGATTTCCACGTGGAAAATGTCTCGATTCACCGGCAACGTTTTTTTTTTTTAACTGCCCCGCCGCGAGTAATCAGTTTCCGTGTGAGGAGAAACGGGTGAATCTTCCGGAGAATTGTATACAAATTTTTGTGCATTTTGAAGGATGTCTGGGTATATGTACAGTGAAGTCGAAATTGTGGAACGAAGTTTCCCCATATACGCCTCGATATTTGTGAAAATTTATTTTCAAATTGATGTATAATTTTTGTCCTTGTTAGTGTATTTCTCTGCATACAGTAAAGTCGAAATTGTCGAGCGAAATTTTCCCATATAAGTACGCCAGCATTTTTATGAAAATTGATTTGAAAATTTATCGAGTACAATCTCCATTATATCATTTTTATCCATATTAATTTTTGTAAATATTGACAATGACGTTGAAAATTAAATTTCATTAGTTTAAAAAATTAGGTAAGGTAGGTAGATATTCTTAGAATAATTCGAAAAAATTTGAATATATCTGAAAAATAATATAACGATGACCTACATATGAAAAATTTATTTTCCCATTTGTACCACGATTATCGCGTCACTCTGTACACCGATCGTAGGACAAATACACAGACGATAATTACGATCCCAACACGCCGCTTTTTTCCATGTAAAGTTAGTGTAACGGGAAAGGATTGCGTTCAAAGGATTTTTTTTCGTTACTTAATCCTATTGTCCCATTCAATATTCCTTCTACCTGCGTTATATAAGATCATTTACTACGGGTAATACCTTATTTTACCGTTTTTATCTTTTATTACCCTACTCTTTTATTGGCTGTATACCTCGCCGTCAAAATTTTTTCACAAGAAAAACTTTTTACACTTTTTAACTGAATAAAAATCGTTTCAAGTCACGTAAGATCAATCACACCTACAAATACGAGGTAATCACCGTGTGAAAACTTCGGTAGAATTATCCCAACGCTTCATTTTCATTAAACTTTTCCAACTGCAAAACACTTGGAATCAACCGTGACTTCGTCGACTGCATAATCGTTAAATTATCGATACTTTTAATCTGTCCGGTTGCATACGTCGTTAGATAACACAAATGACTAATAGAAAGCGTGTGATAGACCGAAAGAGCGTAATCTTCGGACACAAATCGTCGTTTTTCACAGATTTCCCAAGCGAGCGCGGAACCATAACATTTCGAAACGATAATGTTTCCCGGAATCGGCTTCGCGCGATGTTTTTGTTGGTGTCCGGTGTATCCTACGTTGAATAATATCAACGACTCCTCGGAACAGACGTAAAACTACGTCAACCTTGAGTCCCTTGCGGGAACATCGACGGAACAGGAAATTGTCCTCGGTGATTTCTAGAGCGGTCAGAATGCAAGGCTGTGTTCCCAAAAGAAGGTCATAATCGATAATCAGCACGTCTTTTAGTTTCCCTGGAAGTAATACTGCCGAGAGGTAGTAAACAGGAAAAAGTGGATATTATTGGCAAAGTTGAACAAAAAGATGAGATTTTCTGACCGTTCTTCTATAACGTACCCATTGTACATTTTCCTTTGAATCAAAACTGCAATCACGTGGACGAAAATACGACCATTTTGCCTAGGAAATTTGCCGGGGAGAAAAGGATGAACCTGCGAGAGACACGGACAGAGAACGAGGATTTATAAGACCCTGGAAAAGAAGTGGATATTTGATCGAGCTAACCTTGAGAATATTGAAACAGGGATGATTATAACGTGTCAATGAACATTGTGTGGCCGTTGCTTGAAAAGACGGGATGGTTTCGTATTAAATGGGAATATTGAAGGAGTAACGTCGACAGGTAAAAGGCAATGGCTACCTTATAACGTGCAATAAAACTGTACCGTTCTTCAAAAGTGCCAATCGTTGCAAACCCCCGATGTGAACGCAACGCGGTACAAAGAGAGAAGAGTAAGCTTCGTTCGAGAGCTAATTGTGGGTCGGAACGGTGCAATTTGAATATTTAAATTCTGTCAATAAAGCAATTGTCACTTTTCTAACGTAACAATATGCTTTCGATGAATAATTGCGCACGAGTTCGGTTTGAGATATGTACAATAAGCGTTACGTCTAATTGCAAGTTTCTATTTTGTGCCTAAGCCAGGTACAATTATTTCGAGTAATCGTTTATAGGTGTTTAAATTTCAAGGGGTGCACCAGCCTGAGGGCCTTAAAACTGGGTGAACGTTTGGGAATTTTTTGAGAAGGTCATTATTAAATGAAAAATTTCAATTTTTTCGGAGAATATAAATGTAAGTTTCAGCTTTCTTCACAAATTTTTAAAAGTAAAAATGTTGCAAATTGAGGGAGGAAAAAATTCGCAAAGTTTGCCTATTTTCAGACGTCTCGGGGTAGTGTAGTGAATTGTCCAATTTGTAGAAATTTATTTTCCATTGTTTTCCACCTTCATCTGAAAATTAGAAAGTATTCAAAATTTCGAAGAGAACGAAGCTTTAACAGAAGCTCTCAGTGCTTCCCTTCGTTTTCACACAGACGTCTCTTCTATTTAATAGAATACGACACCAAAACTGTCCAAAAAAAAAAAAAAAAAAAAAAAAAAGAAAAGGAACAGGAATATAATGGTTGGAGACACATTAGGGCTTTCGAGGTGAATGACGCTCACAGAGTAATTACTTTTCGATTTATCTTGCGGTCGGACCACCGGCCAAGTTTTGCCAACAGACTTTCGAGATTTGCTTATTTCCGGTCCTCGCGCACGCCCTCCGTTTCCCGCGGGAACCCTTTTCTTTCCATGGGAGCTTTCTTATTTCGTTCGCTGTATCGCAGGACACGCCTTCGGACAGATTCTTCAAGAAGGAATTTTATTCCTCCACCGACTGCTCTCCTTTTCAACGGAGATTCTGGGTGAATACCTTTCGGCATAAACAACTTACCGATACGTCTTATTTGCGACAAAGATCGCCGGGATTCGAGAAATGGCCTGAGAGAAGTAAGTTGTCGGCGGAGAGAAGCTTTTCACGTGGTGTAAATGGAAACTTTGTATGTTGTGATAGAACTTACTGAAAGGAATAAACAGCTCTTCGCGATACGACCGAAGATTAAATTTTCCAAAGATAAAAAGAACGAGTTTTGGTTTGGGTGTGCTTATACGTTTCTTTTTATAAATTTCACGCGCTGAAACTTACACAAAAATTGAAAAACTCACGTTTATAATGCAACAAATAATCCGAATTCACAGATTCCATTAAAAAATGAAATAATTTTTAAACATTTTTTCAATAAATTTCTGTCTAGGTTTTTCCCATTTTTCATTGAACTTGATGAATAATATTTATCACAGTTTTCGTTAAAAACGAATGTACAATACATAGTTTTGCAAAATGATCCATCGATCGCGGAGATTAGCACGGAAACCTGGTGAAAGCTGAAAATAGGAAATCTGTGGTAGCAAAAGCAGCCGAGGACAAAAACTTTCGAGAGCAGATCGCTCGGTGTCCGATTACTAAGCCTTACGGTAAAGAGTTGAGAATCTTTCTCTCTCTCTCTCTCTTCGAAGAGACTGAAAGCGTTTACATGCTATTTGTTTGAGAAGCCTTTGAGGAGAGTGGCAGAGGAAGATTTCTGCATCTCGTGCGCTCCCGTTCCACTTTGTTGTTACCCTCCACCTATTTTCCCTATTTCTTTCTTCGTCGTCGAAACGAGAGACACCGTTCTACCCCCCTAAGCTTCGAAAAACTTGCGATAACCTTCCAATACATCCCCCCCAGAGTCTCTGTTCTCTTCTCCAAATTCACTTTTACAATGTTTTCGCGCCTTTAACCGCAGATAAGAAGGCAGCTAATAATACATCGGTACGTCTTCGATTTTAAAATAACCAGAGGAGCGAAAGCAATTTATCAGGGCGAAACGCGATCGACAAAGAAGCCATGATTATTGCGGAAAACCGTAATAAAGCAACCGGTTCGTTCGTACCACGGATTCCATGGTATTAAACAAAGGGCGAAGCAGTCGTAAATGCTAATACGAGTTCCTCCCTGTACTCTCCTAGTCAGGTACACACGCGTACAGCAACGTAATAAAAATATGGACGGATTTTTTCTACACTTTTTCACGACGTGGCGTCGTCGAGAATACCATCGAGTTGTTGCTTTTTATTACAGAGTCCTCGGGGACGATTTAGGGAGGATCGGTTGGATTTAGCTGGAGGACTCGATTATAGCGTAACGGATTAACTTCGGCTGACTTCAGAAACGGTTTAAATTAGTTAACAACCATTTTTCCTTCGCCCCGCGGAAAATCCTTGGTATACAGAGGATTAAAGTAATTTTTTTTTCTTCGCCCTTTCCGTTCTTTTTTACGACAGACACTTTCCTGCAAATATCGGGATAATATTGTTCGACCCTCGTGTTCCTGCGATTCGTGGAAACTTAATGAACCCGGAGATCCAGCCTGCGTAAGTTTGATAACAATCCGCGCCATCGTCGTCCCCCAAAAGGGTTGACCATTGTTCGGGTTCTCATCTCGTTCATCCTTTTCTGTTTTGTAAGAAATATCTTGTTAAATCTTCACACGAGACCATGCTGTTAGGAACGTAATAGATCCATAATCGTGAAGAACGCCTAGAAATTGTGTGTTGCGACAAGATGAGAAAGAACGTGTTCTTGTGAAAACGGTTAGAGGTAAGGCAAGGTTGAGAGCCAGTCTTTTGAAAACATCGGGATGTTGGTCAGCATGTCATATGGCCAATAGCCAGTGGCCGCGTGGGTGGATGCAGGGTGCAGATGCAGGAGCAGGCAGAGAGCAACCCTTCCGTAATAAGTTGGAAAGAAGGGGGCTGTGCGGAGAGGACCCTTTCTGCATTGTGACATCCCGATATATAGCTGGATGTATACATTGTGTTCGCGTCTGCTCGTCTCGGATGGTCCAGCTAACGGTAAACGTACGGTGGGGCTGCGGCTCTGTCCGAAAATGTGTGTCAAAAGGCCGCAATTTGTGGGCCGCTAGATCCGAAAAGCGTGACCTCGGTGAACCCCTTTCTCTTCGGTCATCCGTCGAATTCGTAACGGTATCGATGGATTTTATAGATATCTGTGTACAATCGAACATTCTTGTAACACGGTGCAAAAATTGCGATCCTCCTTTAACGCGATGCAAAAGTTGCGGAGGTCCTCCCTTAACGCGGTGCAAAATTTGCGATCGTCCTCTAACACGGTGCAAAAATTGCGATCATCCTCTAACGCGGTGCAAAAATTGCGGAGGTTCTCCTTTAACGCGGTGCAAAAATTGCGATTATCCTCTAACGCGGTGCAAAAATTGCGGAGGTTCTCCTTTAACGCGGTGCAAAACTTGCGATCGTCTTCTAACGCGGTGCAAAAATTGCGATCGTCTTCTAACGCGGTGCAAAAATTGCGATCGTCTTCTAACGCGGTGCAAAAATTGCGATCGTCTTCTAACGCGGTGCAAAAATTGCGGTCCTCCTTTAACGCGGTGCAAAAATTGCGATCGTCCTCCTTTAACGCGATGCAAAAATTGCGGAGATCTTCCTTTAACGCGATAATCTTTTAAAACGGTTTCCATACAGAACGGTTTCGTAAACTTGACCAATTCTCACATGACACGAGTGTCTCAAGTATGCATTCTTATACCGTTTCATTTAACCCTGGTGTCAATACCCTTATGGGTACCCTTTTGCACATTTGCTCATTTAAAATATTTGATCTCCCCTGTAGAAGATTATCCGTGTTTGCTTCAAGTTTAGAATTTCGTCATCAGAAAACTAGAAAATTACTAAAATTGAACGCTAAAGTAGACAATTGTGGCTATTGACATAAAGGTTCAAAAAATATGTCACACGGTTTCGATATAACACGGAACAAATCCTCCCTGGTTTGCGTTTCTCCCAAATTTCGCTTATCACGACTTCGTTCAACACGTCTTCGATACAACACCGAACAAATTAACCGTGTTATAGGAGGGCTGACGATTAGAATCGTAAACGAGCAGATTGTTCGAATGGTAAGAACATTTTTAATAAACCTACGTCATATAGCATTTACAGGAGTGAGGAAAAAAATACGATAAATGGTAGAATTAAGTTAGTTTTTTGACCACATGAGGTAAATCGTATTTTCCACGCACGCATTTGATCTTTACACCCGGAGTATCTTGAAGCTTCCCCACTCTGCACAGTACGATCTGATGCTCTTGAAGATTGTGTCCCTCACCTGAAATAAAAAAAAAAGAAGGATAATTAATACATCGATGAGAAACAGTTCGATGGTATCACGTGAATGTTTGTTTCACGGATTCGTCGAATCTACTCACCCGGTACGTAGGCGGTCATTTCCTTGCCGGTTGATAGGCGAACGATCACGCATTTTCGATTGGCGGAATTCGGCTTCTTCGGCTTTCTGATCACCGTCTTTAAAACCACACCTTTGGCGAATGGTTTTCCATCCAGAGGACTCTTTTCCTTCTTCTTCTTCTTATACGGTCCGTGTTTGTGCAACCTGTTTAGTGTCGTTCTCAGCCTGATCTGTGCGAAGCCTAATTTAATTAAATACTCAAAATAATACATGTTCTGTAAGTGTAGCAAGGTAGAATAGTAATCGTATCAACGTTTGAGAAATATTCTAGCGTACAGCCGCAAAGTTTACCGTTCCTTTTATCACTCTCATTCAAAGCTAAGGGTACACACAGAAAATTAATGATTTCCTTTTTAATTGGCCAGTTAAATTTCTTATTATTTCGTTTATTGTCCTGGGATGTTGAATGAAACGGTTCAAAAGAATTCTTACTTATCTAACTTTGGAAATATAAATATTACACGTGTAACGTTACAACAAAATGTAAGCGCAAAAACTTGTACCGGCCAGTTGGTGATTTTGTAGAGCGTAACACGCAAGTCTGATTTTTCCCCACTGTTTCCCAGGTAATTCAACCTTTCTCTTGTCTACATTTCAGATTCCAAAGGTAAGAACGAACGCGCGTACGTAAAAGGTGTAATTTCCTAGGCAAGTAAAGACACGTGTACATTTCATCTTCCCGAAGTGTGTGCCGGTAAAGGGAAAGTAATAGTCCGGTGAACGGAAACAATTGGGTTTTCACTGGAAATTCGAACGATTAGGTAAGAACGGGCCGAGCCTAATTGCCGTCAACGCACACTTTTCAGTGGCGAAATCTCGCCCTGAGACATGATTTCTTGACTAACTGTCGATCCCGATAAATCCGGAAAGAATTGAGCAACGAGGATTTTACAACAGCCGTTCACCACGAAATCTCCATTTTATTTGGTGAAAAGTAGAATTCTGGTTAGTGTCCATTAACCCTTGGTGTCTTTTACATGATATGTTACGTTAGTTCAAGGTATTAGCTGCTTCAATACTATGTCGGATTACGAACTATTCTATTAGGTCGTTCTGAAAATTGTCGTGATTTTTAAACCGTTCATTTTGAAGAATAACAAACACCAACTCCGCTGAAATCAAACATTTTTATTTCAAATAATTTCTACAATGCTTCGTACAATTTTTCCAACGTATTGCAAGAGCATTATGTTCGCGTACATAAAGTTATTTGAAATGAAAATGTTTTACTTCAACGGAGTTACGTTTTTCACACAAACTCCATAAACACAACGTTGGTTTCAGCATTTAGATTATTTAGCAAAAAGAATTTATTTTGTAGAGTTAGCAATAAATTCGCTTGTAATTCGCTGGCAGAAATGTACCGAATCTCCTGAAGCTTAGTTTAACTTATTGTGGTTTCAAATTTAATTTATCAATCCACACAATTTCGTACGCACTAAAATATTCTATATAATCAATTATACAGTTAATCAGAGATTTTTCCCTTGGATGGTAGTATTGAAATACGAAATTACTTTAATAGCAAATTATTAAAATATGAAATTATTTCCATGCCACTTGATGCGATTTTCATAGCGAAAATTTCCGTAGTAGCAGGAGAGAAAAAAAGTATCGTGAAAGAGGACGAGTGTCGATAGGGAAGTAGCGAGTCCCCAAGGATCACGGTGTCCTAGTCAACGGCATTGTGGACGAGGGCAGGAAAAATAGGAGACCCACTGCGCGGTAACGGTACCGGGAAACTGAAAACTCTTTCGCAAATAATCTTACGAGCCGAAGGAAAAGAGGGTCTCTTGCCCGATGGAATATCAAATATGACGGACGCTTGACATCTGCAAGCCGATCGTCCAAGACCAGTCCTTTTTCGCTCGAGCGTGCATAAGCTTATTAAGCAACATTGTTACGGGGCAAGGTCCACCCATCCTTGCACAAAACGTTCACGATCCGTGAGATCGTGTGACCTGAAAGTGAACGAGCAAATTGCCGTTTGCAAAATTACAAAGGTATGTTTTTTTCTATTTTTTCTATTTTTTTTTAAATATAATTTAAGGTAGCGTCGATGTCCTGGTTATTGGCGACCATAGTTGGCGATCATTCTATACTTCACGAGTAAGTTGCATTGCTTTCTTGAGACTTTCTTCTGTTTCAAATATTTTTTTAATATTGTTAGGTATTTGGAGCTGGTTTCTGGTGTCTTCTGTATTCTAATAAAATATGTTTGGCGGTTAAATTTTGTCGGCAGGGCTCATAGTATGGTGGAATTCTTTTGTTTATTAATTATTATTTGTTTTTTCTCTAATGAATTTGACTGTGGCGTGATTTGTATAGAAATAAGATCACGCATCTATTTTTCCATTTTTCCTTCCATTTCTGTTTGATACAATTATTAAAAAATATTCAAAAACCCGTGGTGTATTACGATTGTTTAAGAAATGTATCAGAGAAAATCGATCGTACCACGACGAAGTATTATTAATTTATCAAATTGCACGTGAAGAAATTAATTTTTTTTTAGTAACGAGGGAGTAATTAAAATTGATCGAATAGTGTCACCTGTACACTTATGTAAATTCGTAATAATTACAGTTACGAGAGTGATAGATACAGTCTACGTCTTGCAATTAGAGTGTCTTAAAGATACTGGATAATTTTTCGAAAGGAACCCGCATTAGAGAGTGAAAGTGCATTTGTATTTGAGAATTTTGGAACGGTGGATTATTATCAATAAATAATTACCTGCAACATGCCAATCATAGAAACTCTTTACATAACGCGTGAACTTATAAAACGTTTGCATTATTGTTGCTAACTGAACGAAGCAAACCTGAATAACAGAAATTCTACAAAATGATTCGTATCGCATGAAATCGGCGTAAATAATAATTTCACGGAAACAATTTCACGTGTAAAATCAAATTTCCGCACCTCTTGAAATTGGTATTAACCGTCTGCTGGGTCATCTGTGACTCGTATTATTCGTGCGTGTAGAAGATTCGTGAAATATACAATGTGAGGCAAAAACTTCGTCCAAAATCGTCTCTATTCTTTTACTGCGAAATGTAGCTTAATTTATTTAGAAAAAAATTGATTCTCTGATGTATAAAGAAGCAAATCTCATGGGTCAGAAGTGACCCGGCTCAGCTTTTCGCCCGATAGTTATAAAAATTGAAATGTAAAAAATAATAAAATTCAATTGAACAATTTGAATAAAAATTTCGTTAAAATTTCCTAAAAGTTGAAACCTCCGATAAAATTGTATTTACCCGAAACGTTCGAAAATTGTCACCTAAAATCGAGTATACACGGTATTGAGAGACGAACGTGATGCAGAACTGCCGTGCGTTCGTTTAGATGCACTTTAAGTGAAACGTCGAGGATGACATGACAATTTCGGCGATATTTCCCCAGGCTGCTCGTAGGAGTGGACGATTTAGCAGGGTCTGTTAGTCGAGACTGTACCATTGTTGTTCATTTCGAGATCTGGCTGACCACCGTCCGTCAATACGACAGATGTCCAAGCCTGCCTAAGCTAATCCGACCTAACTCAGACTTAACTAAGGCAAGAGACCAGCAGAACCTATTATGCATGGAAGGCAACCCCTTTTCCCGAAGATCAATGCGCAAGATTACATTGCGAAAATTCACGACGTCGCGGTTACGCCTTTGTCGCGCTCACGCAGCCAAGACACTGTCGCAGGTAAAATCCACGGCTTATCTCTAGTTGCGACTGGCGGCTGAATGCAACGAAAATTTTTGCGTAATTAAAAGCTGATTAGAAGGCCTCATTCGAGGAGAATAAACATTCCCCGTGGTCGGGAAATAGGAAGGAAACGTTGGTGGATCTAGGTTTTTTTCATTTGCTGAAGTGAGACGTTCTGAAAAAATTGATGACACAAAAAAGGAAATCTGAGAAGAGTATGAGCCACCGATGGGTCATTCCGACAGATGCATGACCAACCGGTGGATCACCACGTTATTTGACACTATTCTATGAAAAAATACGTATATTTATCAGGTGAAAGAATTAGAAACTCAAAAATTAAATATTAGTAATAATGTTCATCGGCAAAATTGAACCATCCATCAAATTAAGTAAATTTCACTGCTACCCTGAACGTGTTAACCCTTTGCATTCAAAGATCTTCTTGCAATATGTAAGCAGCAAATCTTGCCACTGTTAAATTGTTGTTCTGTTAAATATTAGCTTTAAGAGAGCCTCCTTTAATTATTTATCAAATGGTAAACAATAATGTCGCTTCCCAGTCGCCACTCGAGTGCAAAGGGTTGAAGAGAACAGAAAAAACTATCTCTAAGCTTCAAAGGGTCCTAATGATCTACAAAAAAAAAAACACAAAATTGCTCTCTACATAAAATGAGAAAATAAATTCACAAAAATGAAAGATTGCATTGGAAGTAAAAGAGAAACGAACGTAATGATAGCATTCGTTCGCTGATTATCCAGAACGAGACTATCCCACGGATGTCCTTTTGTGGCGTCGCGAGAACTGGGAAAATGCGAATAACAGTCTTACCGCAGCCTGTACCCTTCACAGGATCACTTCTGACAACTGGTCAACCACAAATGGACACGTCACCCCCTTCGATTCCAAGCGATTTTCACCGTTGCCCAAGGAAAAGCCCCGCTTCTCTCCTATTCGTGTCCTTTCTTGCGGAGTAGCCGGATCCCTTTTTGCATTTCCACAGATATCTCTGTCACTCTTTCTCTGTGTGCTCGTGGGGATCAAAGAGGTAAAGCGCTGCGTGCGCTTTTGCTGGCCACGCGCATTTTCGCAAGCGAAAAATGCAGGAAGAGAAAACCGTGGTCCCTTTTTAGGTCGACCACCCCTTTTCGCCGCGTTTACTCCGTTGAGAAACGAAGATACCGATCTGTCGGGAAGGCTTAAAGAAACTCGAGACGTCACTCGAATTCCCATGGAACTGTTCGGCCTTGTTACACTTATGGGAAATGCAAACAATGACCATGAAGTTTCGCGCGATTTCACGTAAATGGGTCACCGCTGACTGGACCTTGCCTTAAGCAAAGTGCTAATTTCTCTTTGAAAGCTTTCAACGTGTTCTAAGTATCGTGGTATCTTTAAGTATTTCGTTAGACACCCATGGAGGATTTTATAGAAAATTTCTATGGTGGTTTAACAGTTACACAGTTAACTATTCTTTGGGTTTTTTTATTAATACTTATGGATAATTGCGTTTTGTGTTTGAATTATGGGAGCATATTTTAACAAATCTTATATTTGTTAATAACAAATTAAAACAACATTTAGAATGTTGGTCTAATAACATATATTACCTTGTATCAAGTTTCCAATATATGAGTTAGTGGTATTCAGTACAGTTCCTGTGATAAAATATAAGAGTAATTAGTTTTGATAGTAATTAATGCTGCTAATACAGAGAATTTTATTGATAAACAAAATACCTGCAGTTGTAGGATTCACACATAGCCTAGTCAGCTGTGGTTTGATGGCTGTAAAGTGAACATATTTGTTTCTTTAAAAAATGTACATAAATGTAGTTATTGCTAATACCTAATTAAATAACTGATCCAAAGCAGTGAATAATACTTTGAATAATAAATAAACTAAATGAGGTATTGTGATTATAACTTTTCTTTGACAACACAAAATAATAAATGTATACGATTTGTATAATGTGCGTATGAAATTTAAATTATGAACAAACATGAAGTATTGCTTATGAAAGAAAAAAATAATGATATTACATGTTTGGATAGGTTAGGTTGGAGGTTAGATTATAATTATGTCTTAGACAGCGAGTGTTAATGCCAATAATACCTTGAGTGGAACTTGTAAAGCAGGATCTCGCTGCATTCACCAGACTTCTAGCTAAGAAGTTCATGATTGTTTTAATTGAACTTTTTCTTAATAATCAACCACATTTAAAGAACTTTCTTCCACCTTTCTCAGAATTTTATCTAGCGACAGAACATCGAACTTCGTTCTTATGGGAGTGGATAAAGTCCATTTCTGTATTATCTTTATCTCAGACACAAACCCTTTGAGTACTCAAAAGTACCTTATTATTATTTTAAAACGTTTCGACTTAAATCTATGCGATTAAAAGATGATTGAATTTCCTCTTAATAACTAATTAATGTTAAATATAGTGGGGAAGTAATCGTAATGCTGATTAGAAAGTATTCAAATTTATTTCACACATCAGTATAAAAACTCTTTTAACCAGTAAATATCTTCAAAAAATGTAGTACCACCGAGTAAAAGCTGAGAGTAATTAATACTGGTTTCTTCAGCCGCCAAGACCGCCGCCAAGACCGCCGCCAAGACCGCCGCCAAGACCGCCGCCAAGACCACCATGTCCACTAGAAATACGAATTACTGGTATGCTGTAGGAAGAGCCACCGCCAAGTCCTGTAACAAAAAAGTCGAAATTAGTATAGATCATGTCTGTAATGACACAATGTTCCAATTATTTGCAATTTTCAGTGTTTTGAAAAAATACCAATTTATTTATTTCGATTTTTAAGTTCTCACTGACAAATGCAGAAACTTGTTAATTTTACATTAACTAATACTTCATGGTAAGAAAAATTCCCATGATAAGTGAAAAAGGTAAAGTTTTGAATGAATTACCTCCATGACCACCTCCATGACCACCTCCTAATCCACCTCCTAAGCCACCTCCTAAACCACCTCCCAAACCTCCAGAGCTCAGTCCATGAATGATTCCTCTTTTTTCAAGTCTCTTCTCTTCGGATTGGGCATACAGGGGTGATGCCAAAGCGATGATAGCAAGAACGATCTGTAAACAAAAGATGAACAATAGTTACGTTTAATCGCATTTTGTAACTCGTTAATTACCGTGTATCGTTAAACGTGTACAATCGAAAACAAAAGAGCAACGTATAATTACACGTGAATATTTTCAAAGAAAATTTTCTGCTTTTACAGATGTTATATAAGTGGTTAATAAAATTGAGCAAAAATTTTTGGTGCAATTATGGATAAATCATAGACGTATAGTTTGAACAAGTTAAATTACTTACAAGGAATTTCATGTTGATGATGTTGGTGTTGTTATTGTAGCGATAGGTAGTTCGCAGTTGTAACTGATGCAGTCTGCACAGAATACACCCCCTTTTATACCACCGGAGTCTTTTTCTTGCGGTATCGCATCCCGGTAAAGTAGATTACGTGTGTATGTGTGCTTCACAAACGCAGCCGGTGCGCGTGGCTACACGCCTTTCTAAAGTGTTGTTTCGCCGCGCTCCTTGTCACGAAAATTTTTTATTACGAGATCACCACGAAGATATTAGACACGACGAGCCGTCAAGTCAGTTGGAAAAAAATAGGTCAATTGTGAAGATTAGCGATAGATAGAAAATGAAATCGTTATTCATATAGGATAACAACAATGCTGTTTTTTTCCTAGTTTTGAAAGCGATTGCTCGAAACCCAAGTAATCTTTACATCGGACATAAAACAAGTATAACCTGACTATTGCGCATACGAATTTTTAATTAAAGAGATCGGTAAGTGTTGCGTCGATTATTTTTCCCTTTCCAAGTCAATAACTTTCCGTCGTGTTTCTCGGACCACGTGGTCGCAAGCCTGATCGGCTTATACGGTATTTGTGGTTAACTACTTACCGATCGTATCAGATGCTTCGAAAGCGGATGAGCTTCTTCGACACGTCGTGTTTCATGCGACAATTTTTCTCTAATTCGATCTAGTTGTCGATATATCGGCTAAAGAGAATTTCGGTCGGAGACATCAGCTCGTATTTTCCGCGCATCTCGAATTTCATCTGTACTGTGAAACTTTCACTCTTATAACGTGCTAAGGGGACGGTTTTCAGTTGCATCGTTACGTAAAAATACGAATCCACATTTTTACATTACATCCTACGCTCACACTTCCTCCCTGTGCTCATTTCTCATGCAGTAACACCAGGTAACCAATAATGTGTCTAAATATCTTGTAGGACCAAAATTGAAAACCTAATATTGCTGATATTATTGTTTTTATCATATTCTTTATATCGAAACCAGACGATCTTTTCGAGAGTTATATCATACATTCATATATCGTGTTAAACGCAAAAATTGTTCACTTTAACTGATTGAAGTGAGGCGCACAACAATTTTGGCACGCCATCTGGTTGCACGTCATTGGTGTAAGTGAACAATAAGGGCAGTAAGTCTGTAAGACACCTAATATAATATAATCAAGTGATTCTTTCTTGTTTCTTCTGATTCTTTCATCAACATCAGTCAGATACGACATGATTTTCTTGCTCGTTTCCTTTGCATCTGAAAACACCTATGTAAGTGACAATTTAATTCTTTATTTTCCCCATACAATAGAGAACAATTTTACATATGTTATATTATGAAGTATCAGGTTGAGGTTGGAAATATTTTTTAAAATAATTACGTTACAGAAAGTGCTTATTACAATAAGTTAAAACAAAATTATCTATTTAAATTACAATACATCGAAAAAAATAATTTTGACTGATTCTACTAAATCGAAATTCATTCCAGAATGCTATGTGTAGAAACTGCTCTACCAACTGAGCTAATGTAGGTTTTGTCACCTGAATGCAACATTTCAGATCTTATATGAAAATGATATTTTTTGAATAATATACTATTAGTGAATAAATTTACCACTTACCAAAATTTCTTTAATATATGTTTTAAACTATAACAAGAAGAGGATAGTCTTTTTAATAAAAACAAAAAACTACATTTTCGTAATTCAGAGTATCATAAATCATTTTGAAAGTATAATACGGTTTTGTCTTGGTATATGTACCATGATTTGTGAAACATTTTCTTTTACATTAACAACACGTGAACGGTTCTAGCTCGAAGGGTCACGAGATTCGAAACGTGCACTCGAATAGATAGGTATCTAAAATGACAGCTATTCGATTTAATTGATGTTCTTCCGTTTTCTTTTCACGTAAAAGCAACGTCGGCATTACAATTACGTAAGCGGAACGCAATTATAAAAAGTGAACAAATTTCTTGCAGTTTTAGTTATAGATATTACTAAATGCTCGTTTCGAAAGGTATCAAAGATCGCGACTGGGGGTTATTGTGCAAGATCGATGAAGGGGGTTGCACTCCACATCATTAGATTGACGGTCGGTAGCTTGATAAGCGGCTAACTCCGAAATTGCAACCATGCTCTAGAACGAACCGAACCGTGTAAAGCCTGATAAATTACGGGCACGTTTTACGTTCATTGGCTACGGTGATGTGTAACCATTGGGGCTCTGTGATCGTTCTTCTTCCTAAAGTACGCGGGTCGCCTAACCAAAGATAATTTAAAATTATAGCGAACAGATTGTAATAAATTTACGAGCAGATAAATCATTAAAAATATTTTTAATACGGTCTAATATGATTTCATGACGATCTTGAAGCAAACATTATACATCGATACGTTCGATGTGTTTTATTGATTAGGTTACTTTATGTATTGGCGCCAAGCGAACCAACCTTTGTTTTTAATGTCTTGAAAAGTATTTTCTACGTTGTACAAGTGGTGTGTAATATATTTTACGAATATAAGGGATAGGAATGAATTTTTATTATATATAACGATTTTTAGCCTTAGATTTTACTACCGACACGCAAAAGGCGCGAATTTTATACGTAGTATAAAAAATACGTCGATAGATGGCACGGTAAGTCAATAATAGTGTTGCCTAAACGTGGCCCTGAAGGAGAGATGAACAGACTGCTTATCTGATGTTTTGTTAAATTACGGAGACTGTATTATGGATTCGTTGTTATATTTAACTCGTTACTTGATAATAAAACGTCAGAAAGTAATTTTCAATGCGATAACGAATACAGTATTTAAACCTAGTGTAGCTCAATTCTATGTTCCTGTTAACAAAGTTATCCTAATTGTTATTTTACGATAAATTTAATATTAAAAATGTTTCGGTTCCGTGTGACGGAAATTGTAAAATTTAGAGATAGCAGTGCTATCAATTTGAAGATTAAAAAAAGGTGTTCAACTAAAAGTAAAGTTACTAAAGCTAATTTAAATTTGACAACTACTGAAACAATAGAAGCAAAAGAAACTCCTTTTGTGCAAGATACCTCAGATTGTACATTGTCCAACAATAGTGTTGGTTGCACAGTGCATAACCAGGCTCAGAGAAATAAATCTGAATTAAAGAAGAAGAGAAGTTCCACATTGCTGTCAAAATCAACAGAAAATAAAATGAATGCTGGAAATAAATTTAAAATAATGAAAGATTTGAAATCATATTCTGTTTTTGGTGGTGAAGTAACAGAGAATTGTGGTATACAATGTATTGAAGATGGCAGATGTTTAAAAATTCCAAGTGTAACATATATTCTTAACGAGACTATGTCTGTCAAAACGAAAAAAGCTTTAGAGATGTGGAAGAATAATATTATCGATACATTTGATGAGAAATACTTCAGACTTCTTTGTAAAGGTATAGCATTTATTTAATACAAACTCAAATGCTTTGAGTTGTGGTGAAATTTATTTTTAGGATTATTGGAAGAAGGTAAAGTATTTCATAAATGTATACAAAATGTATTATTGAAGAAAGTAGTTCCACTTGAACCCCGTATTAAACCAGTGTACTACAGTGTGGAGCCTGTATTAAAGGATTTACAAAGAGTTCATTCATTTGAAACATATGTGACACATCCAACATTGCGATACAGTGGCATTGTGGACTGCATTGTTTCTTACAGGTACAACAGAAATTGCCTTTGCCATCATAAGGAAAATGTAGTTTAACATATGTCATGTGGTTTCGAGCTGGTGTAGTTACCATTATAGTATACCGATATTAATGGCTAAAACCATACCTATTTAGAAAGCAACTGTATATCATTGATTGGAAAAGATCAGCAGCACAGGGGGCATCACTTGCAGCAACTTTTGATGCACCTGTACAACTAGCTGCTTATATTGGAGCTGTAAATGCTTCCAATAAGCATCCATTTAGGGTAAATATTTATTAGAAACTTGTAAAATGACATTCAATTAATTTAATACAAACCCAGTGACAATAAGTATTATTACATCTGTGTCTACAGATAGATAGAGGGTTGGTTATTGTTGCTTACACATCTGGTGAGCCTGCAAGCGTTCATGAATTAAATGATAGTACATTACAAAAGGCATGGGAAGAATGGTTAAGAAGACTGGAACTGTTTTATACAAATTTAAATAAAGCAACTAATTGAGTAACTTAATTTACTCATGTATTACGTTACTCTACTTACGGTTAAATGTTTTTAATTTAGACAGGTAAAAGTGTATTGCTTCAGGCAATAAATATTTCGTTATTTAAGTTAATTTAGAATTAGGAAAATAGAATGAAAGTTAAATGGTTTCCGCTAAGTACCTGAATATCATTGAACAATAAAATCTTCAAAAATTTGTTT